AAGTCGAAACTTTTCACACCCCCCCCCCAACCCCTCCCACTCCCATACTCCTTGTTTCATGATATCTTGCGTCATTTTGGGGGGTGTACAGGCACCCAGGACACCCTGGCTACATTGCATTGTACCCTCCATTGAAAACGTGAATGGCAACGAACTAGTGTTTTCCAGCAAGATGGAACTCCCCCGCATTTCCATCCAGATCAATGAGTATTTTCGGATGAATACTTGACTGGGCGGTGAATGGGACGACGCAGACCGGTGAAGTACCCCCACGATCTCCAGATCTCCCATCCCCAGATTTTTTCTCGTGGGGTGTGTGGGACACAGGCAGGGTACGCCCCAAAATCCGAGACCAGCAACCATCAAGGAACTCCTGCAGAGAAATGTCGCCCATTCATCGCCATTCCAGTGGAAACACGTGCCGGTGCGTACCGCTATGTTGTTGCCAACATGCTCTGCAATGCCTGAGTGGGTGCCGATGGTGGACGTTTTCAATACCTATTGTAGCCTGTCGTGTTTGAGGTGTCTCACGAAAAAGTGTCTGAAATAATTTGATCGAGCATTACGTCTTTTTGTACGAGACCATATCCGTGAGCATTTAATGGAAGTCCCATTTGAAAACAGTAAAATAATTTAACATAACCTAACATAACCTAACTTTTTAAAACCCTTCAGATTGGAGTAAAAGTGGCATTTTATTACTCTGAAATTTTGAAAACGAAAGTATAGTTTCGAGAAACGGACGTAAGCAATTTGGAAAAACTGTAAAAACGCTTCCTAGTTGCCAACGAGTTCGTCTTCGATTGCAACTCTTTAACAAACAGAAAGTGATTTAAAATACGGCTCAAATCACTATTCCTGGCCTACAAAGCAGATGTTCCTTATGTATTTTGTATTACCCCATTTTCCCCTGAGCTCATTACTTAAGCGTTTTAGCACAATAATTATTTGTAGACCATGGGGAGTTTTATCGTCATATTCATATCTATATTCGGGCGCAAGGACTCTAATAAAGTCTCTTTTTCAAACTCTTCTTAAGGCTACATATGAGAGCATATGTCATTCCGTGTTTCCGTCATTCGTGTTCCCGTTTCGTTGAAGGAAGTGTGCGCCTAGAAATGGCATTAGCCCAAGCGTCCGTAAGCGGATTGGGCATAGCCAGTCTAAATCGCAGTATCGAGGAAAAATCTTCCCACCCACATCCATGCTAGAACCCATTCGCACCCGCAAGCATAGGGTAAAACCACCAATGTTCGGCCAGTTAAGCCTGTCGGACAGTTAAGCCTCATCATTCGCTCGTCTCATCTCAACGGTACAATCTGGAAGCTTCATTTTTTTGCGCCTGGGAGCACGACACTAGGAAGTCTGAATGTAACAAAGATGTTGTCCTTCCTACCCTTATGACTACCGATATTGCCTATAATGTGGATGCCTGAAAGTAGAAGCGGAAAAAATTAAGTTCTGACACTTTCACCTTAGTTCGGACATCCCCGTTTTAAAGTCTCGAAGAGGCTTGAAACACTTCATTTTGATGTGAAGGAATGATAACCCGCTCCCTAAGTATTGGATCTTTCCTCTATTTTCTAGTATAGGATGATCGTGATCGAGTGAGTCAGCGACTGACTAATTCTAACCATGTTTTAGATGAGATTGAAAGGTCGAACTTGGTAGTGGTGGAACACGAATAACTCTGCTGATACGGATTTCAGGTACTTGTATTTGGGAGAGACGTATCTCCATAAATTTATTCGTTCCAATGAAACGGAGAGACATAGAAACTGAAACTTGGTGCATCAGTACCTATTGAGGTGCAGATTTCAGGGGGGGAAAAGCGACTTTTAGGATTCGTTCAGGGGCTTATTTTTTTGGGGTGGACCTTTCCCAACAAAAATTATTTCGTTCCAGGGAATCATGGAGACGAAAGGCTGAAACCATACTAATTAGGTACATGCTGGTATGCAGTCATAAGGGGAAATCCTGCTTCTGAGAGATGTCTTCTGGAGGTACATTTGGGGGGGAGCCATATTTTTAAATTTTTTGCTACATTGAATCGGGTGGTGAAGGATATAGAAACATGGAATTTGGTTCGTAAGTTGCTCTCCAGTCGTTAATTTCTGGAAAAATCCTACTCTTGAGGATAATCCCTTGGGTGCACATTATTCATTAGGGTCATGTTGTCGGAAATTATTTTTAAGCAGAACGGACTGGCACAGTTTGTTATATTCAGTAGACAAGTATTTCTCTGCATGCTGAACTCAGAAAACATGCACCTTCAGGGACACATCCCCGCTCCGAATTTGGAGGTGCAACTCCTAGAAGAAAATGTATTCAGCAGCCGTGTTCATGTTGACCTTCCGCAAGGACATCTCATTCGAATTTAAGCCCTGATGGCCTTTTCAAACACCCTAGGATCGATAATCCCAACCTCCTACCACTTCTTTGGAGGCACGCCGCACACTTGGGTGTGCGAATAAATACCGGGTGAGACAAAAAAAAACGCGCCGTTCTTTGAGATTCATTGGAGTTCATGAGTTGGAAGAATAGCTCGGCAAATTTTTTTTGCAACAACTTCTACGTATCTCTCAACCGTCCTAAAAAAAAGTGTTCGTTTTTCCTGTCGTTTCACCACAGGAGCGAAAACGCGAAGGCGACTCGAATTTTATTTTTGCGCGAGGAAGCGTATCAGCGGAAGAGCAGTTGGTAGGCGTGGAGCGCACAAATTTCGGGCCAGAGCTCCTCTATCTAAAAATGTTGCACTTTGCGAAAGGATGGGGTATGTAGAATTTTACCAGAATTTGCAGGTAAATGATGAAAGAAAAGTGGGCCTGCTTGTTGAGAGATTGATTCACGAGGAACCGTTTTATCCGAGAGCAAGCGAAAGAATAAAATTAGCCGGAACTGAAGGAAACTTCCTATGGAAGAAGTCATTGTTTCTCGAGATGATAATCCTGGGATGCAAAATTATTATATGCAAATTGCCAGACGTAAGGACGAGTCAAAGATTTGCTTGGCGAGTTCTGAAGCGCAGAAGGAAAAATCCTGAGAATAAACGTCATTCCTCATGGGTGGGACAAGTCCTCTCGCCAGCGTCCAGGTGCGAGTGCAAAAATTAAATTCCAGTTGCTTTTGTAAAATCACTATTGGGCCAAAATGGCCGGAGATAACACGCCAAAATTTTTCGAACGCTCAAAGGATGCATAGAAGTATGAAAGGAACTGCATAGTTCTAGCTGCTGTTTTAGAGGTGCCACAATATGTCAAAGAGCGACGCGTTTTTTTGGGCTCACCCGATGAATAAAGCTGTATTTTTGCATGTGCTCGACGGTGTTCAAACTTACGTGCCCCGTTATGAAAGCTCGAACAGAGCTCAAAAATACATGTTCTCTGAAAAGCATGACTCAACTGAGCTTTTGTCAACTCTAATCGCTCTTTATCTCAAGAGGACGTCATATTTCCGCAGATATGACACACATGAATGTATGTCCGAACTTAAGTTTCTCATACATTTCTTGACCTAAGTTCGAACACACCGGAAGTAAGGCAATAATCTGATAAATGCAATTGCATTCTGCGTAACAGGACTCCATGTCCTCCTAGTTTCCTGGGAAGTAAGAATTGGGCACAGAAAACAAAAAAGTCACGTTTGAACCGTTTTAAAAGTTAGGTTCTCTCCTTAAGGTTTCTCGAAGAATTCCTCCTGTTCGCGATATAGCATTAGCCTAAGCCCAATATCTTGAAATCGTGCAAACCCTTACGAAAAGATCCTATAGGATCCGATGAGATTTTTGAAACATAAAAATCGTATAGTATTCTTATAGGATGCTACAGGAATACTATAAGAATCCTATAAGAATTCTGAGATTTTTCTGTTTCAAAAATCGTATAGGATCTTCTCGCAAGGGAAGTCATGATGACCACCGCTTTTCCTTCGCTCAGTAACGTAATTATCTCATGCTAGGAAAAACCATTTCTGAAGGCGGCCCCGCGAATGCACAGTTATGTAACAATGCTTGCAGCTGTGTCCGAACTTAGGTGGTTTTATCCTAGGCTTGCTAAATCAGTCCCCTCAGGGCACGTTCCTTCAGAGATCAACTTCATCTGTAGTATGCAATCCAACAGCTATTCGTTTTCCTTCCCGCTTCCTCGAAGGAAGAAAATATACGAGTGTGGTATTGGCCTAAGCGTCCATCTGTGGGTTTGGTCTCGGCCGGTGATGGCGAACCTCTTTAGCTTCGCGTGTCACAAAACAAAATAATCATACTAACTTGCGTGCGTCTTGCGTGCCAGTCTTAGAGAGACTTCTGCTGCCGAATGACAGTTTTTCAATCCTAGATTGGCACTTGGTCGTTTTCGGAGCCACACACGTAGCACTCGTGTCATTTGTCAGGCTATCGTGTAGTTCTGATTTAATAGAGTTCATGGAAGAAAAGCGCTGTTCACGAAAATAAGTCGAACCGAAGAGTGTTAGCAGTGCAGCAGCGGGCTTCTTCATAGAACGCAGGCAGGGAATTCCAGCTTTCAAAATTTTCTTTTCAGCACTTGCTACATTGTTTCCCTCACTTCGTTCACGCTCGATCTGTTCGAGTGTTCGACACATAGATCGGTTAACTTCGTCTTCCACACACTACTTTCTCAGAGTTCTATCGATTCCATTTCCAAATTTTCAAGCCCCAACCACTCCAGGTCCGAAAGAAGTCCTCGAATTGCACTTTGTGGGGCTGATGATGAAGGTCGGATTTTTGTCCATAGTGTTCTTGAAAATTTCTCGTGAATGTCCGGTTACTTCTGAAAGTTGTTTATAGACGTCACTGGGACTCACAAGACCATCTTCAAAAAGCACAGAGTTGTCAAAATGCTTTTTCAACTTGGGAAAATACTTAGGTTTCTCTGTTTCCAAACCCTTCCTGTATATTTCAAGCTTTTTCCCGAAAGTCTTGATGTCAGTGGATATCGAAGGTGTAAACACCCCCTAAGTAGGGGGGGGGGAGGAGGGTGCGTAGAATGGCTCTCATTCCCGTTGTAGTGTTAGAGATGACATGGAAAGAACTTATGATTGACTTTCTGTTCCATGGTGTAGCGGTAAGACGCTCGATCGGTAATCGGGAGGCCCAGGGCCTCTCCACACGGCCGCTCCATTTCATCCTCTAATGCCATCCGAACTTTCCCCCCCCCCCCTCTCCCCTTCTCGGGCTATTACACACTCAAGGATAGATCCGCCTGTCGCTACGGCACGGAAAAAAGTGCGAGCCCTAGAGAGGGAGACATACACCTGAGGCAGGCAGAAGGCGCCGCACACGTGCAGCATCGGAGGCTTCATCCGCACGCAGCTTCATTACGTTCTTACTGGTTGCCACGCCAAGCAGCCAGCGCTATAACGGCAAAAGCTAAATTACCCTTGAGCAACCTTAAAATATGCTCGATTGTGTTGATTTTTCGCACAGAAGTTTATATATTGGAAGCGTACAAAGGTGAGGGATTAATATTATTAAAAATTTGAAGTAAAAAAAAGGGGGCTTTTTTTTACACCACCCTAGCACGCAAGCATCGTGACTCGCCCGCATTCCACGTACTCGCCGGACGTGCCTCGTTTTCTCGCGGGCGTATCCTCGGACGACGCCCTCGCGAGAAGAGAAACGCACGGAACGGAGACGCCCGCGAAGGAAGCGAACGCACGGGGACGAGGAGCACCCCGCTGGGGCGCGGAACGCGGGCGGATCGCCGCGTCCGTTCGCGTCTCCGTGTCCGAGGACGGTCGCTCGTCGGATTCGGACACGTCGGCGGTCGTTGCCGAGTCCGACGGGAACGAGGGGGAAGGGGTTCCGCGTCGGAAGAAGCTTAGTGCTCGGGCGCCGGAGGAACGGCATGGAATCGGGAAGGAACGCCCCTCTTCTTGTCGTCCGTCGACCGCGGAACGTGTTCTCGGAAACGCAGGTGGGAGATGCTCGGGTGCGATCTCGGCCACTTCTCCGCACGTCGCCTTCCACGGAGACCTGCTCGTGACCTACAACGTGACTTACCCGACCCTCGGCCTGGCGAGAGCGTCACCCGCATACGAGATCCGCCTGTGGGACCCATTCGCGGGAGAGCGGGAACTGGCGTCCCGCTCGGTGTTCGCTTCCCGTGCACCCGAGGGCACCCTCGTCTTCCCCTGCGGCACCGTCTACCACGAGGGCCTCCATCGGATCACCCTGACTCGATCGGGAGAAGACGTCGATATCGACCGGATCTCCGTCCTCGTCCGGTGGCCACCCGCAACCTTCCGCCTTCCCGACCGCGTCCACGCTTACGCGAACGACCTGACGGTCCGCGTCGACTTCCCCGAGATCCTATGCGGGCCGTCGGGAAGGAATCTGACGACGTGGTTCGACATCTGGGATTCGACCCGACGGGTCGTCTCCACGAGAACGACGACGAAAAACGCGTTCGGTGCCGTATCGACTGAGATCGTCGTTCCGTGTCGGATCCTCGGGCCGAACGATCGGTTTCGAGCGATCCTGTGGGCCGAATCGGCGGAAATCGGAAGAAAGTGGAAAGTGGCATCCAGTTCCGAAGTGAAAGTCGATCTTGGACCGGATTTTCTGTTCCGAATGGATCCTCATCGGGACAGCGTGTTTCCGTGCAGCTCGGCCGTCGCCGTGCGATACCGAATCCCACCGTGTGCAGGAGAGAAAGAACGGATTCGCGTTTACGGACGAAGGAACGCGGAGTCTTCGCGGAAGGATGAATACTTGGAGGAAGTGATCCTGACGCTCCGGCAGGGGAAGGCGGAATTCGAGTGCTGGAAATTCAACGAAACCTACGCGGAGTATTGTTTGAAATACGTGAACGTGGATCCCCTGGGACGAGTGCGAGTCTTGGACACCCTATGCATCCCCACTTTCCTCCCCGACCGTGAGTCACCTCGTTTCGTTTCCTTTGCGGTCTTGGAGCTACGGCGATCCCTTTTTCTTTCTTTCCTCTGTTCTGCCTCTTCCCCTGCCTCCCCTTTGCCCCCTCCCCCTCCTCTCTCGATTTCTTCCGCGTTCTACAGGTACTTCCGCTTTCTCTTCGAGACCGTTCGATTCCGTGTTTCCTTCGATGGGGCGTTTCGGGGGTGTCGAAAAGGCCGCCGTCGCGTCGGTTCGTCTGCCGATCGACGCGTCTCTTCCGGACGACGGAACGCGAGCGAGGTCGCGTGCCTCTCCCGAGCGAAGCGAAGTCCCTCTCTTTTCCTCGCCTCCCTCGAAGCACGTTCGGGACTATTCGGTCTCGGGTCGAAGAGGGCCAACGGGACCCTCGGTCGAAGTCGCGCTTCGTCGTTCCCGGTTCCGTCGTCGCGATCGGAACGAACGAGTCCGCGAAGGGACGGTCTCTTCCCTCGGCCGAGGCGCGATCCCGCGATCCGGGGTCGAGGAGATCTGCCGTCTTTCCGATGCCTTTCGTCTCTCTGTCTCTCCTCGTCGGGTCGCCGGACCCCGGCACGGGAACCGTTTTTTCTTCGAGGGGGATATCTCCGGCCGCTTTCACCGTCGGATTCCCCTCTTTCCCGCATCGATTTCGCTCGATGGAAGAACGGATTTCTGCCGGTCCTCGGGGGATCGGGAGCGGCAGATACACGAGGGGAGTAAATGGACGAGCCCCTTTCCTCTGTAGGGGTGGCAGAGCCGGGGTAGAGAAAGCGATTCTCGCCTCCCTTCCCTCCCTTCCCTCCCTCCCCTCCCATCTCATCGCGTATTCAGGAAAACATTAGAAGGTTTGCAAATGCCAGCTGTCAGGAGTCACGAATCGATGGCAGAACGCGCGAGCGAAGGGCCGATCCGGAATGTCGGTCTGACGCGAGGCGACTCCTTCGTCTCCGTTTGCGTCGCTATGAATTGCCTTTTTCGCTATGAATTGCCTTTGTCACGTCGTGTCTCTGCTCGTTTCCGACAGACGCGGAAGACGGAGGGTGGAGAGATTGGAGCGAATGGAGTCCTTGCATGGGCGTGTGTCGAAGAGGGAAGAAAATCCGACACCGCGTCTGTCATCCGCTAGCAAGTCATCCCTTCTGCTCGGTGAGTTCCCGAACGTGAACCCGTCTTACTTCGCCGTACTCGTTCCCGAGAGGTCTCCAGCGAAGAGAGGGTCTCGAAATGAAAAAATCGGAACGCGGAGAAACGGGGTCCGGGGTTTCCCCACCCGGGTCGTTCCTTTAATTTTTTTTTCCCAAGGAAAAGAATGTCGCGATAGAAACGCCACCTGAATCGCGTCCGAGATTAGACTTGTTTTTGTTTCGTGGAGGGTCCGTCCTTGGAGGAATCCGAATGCGAGATGGAGGAATGCAATCTCCCCTCATCGGGGGGAGTCCATACCCTGGTCCGTACCCCGTCCCAGCAAGAGTGCGGCTGCGGCTGCGAATTAAGCATCACTCCGGGGATCGCTACCTTCCTTCTCGTCGATGCCAAAGACTGCAACGATACCAGCATCTGGTTCTTACAGGTACGCCCTTTCTGGGAAGAACCTATCTTTTCTTCCCCTCGTTGCGAAGGTCCCGCGCGTTTCCGGACCGGCGGCGGTGGGTTTCCTCCTCTTTGGCTGCGTCGAGAACCGAGCGAACGTCGGCGTCGAGCCTTTCGTTTACCCCGTCCGAGGATTCCGGGTTCCCCATCGTTCCAGGTATCTCATCAGCAAGGTCTCACCGACAGACGACTCTCCGACTTCCATCCCGCCGATTTTTCTACTCGTCGATCGACGTCAAGGGAGAAGTAAAAATCATCGATCTCCGAACCCGAACTCTTCGATAGCCTCACGAGATATAGCCTCCCATTGTAAAACTCATCAAAATTTTCAAATCGCCGGCTCCATCATGAACCTCAGATGAGAAACCGAAGCTTCTCATCCCCTATGAAAAATTGTCATGAGAATCCCTGGAATTTATTTAATACCTATGGATCCAAAGGGAATCGAATGTGTTTTTTGAAAAGAGAATCCCATGGAAAATATCCTTTAAGGGATGGACTCGATCATGAAGGGATTGGTTTGGTGTATTCTATTATACTTTCGCCCCCGAGACTTAATTGATAAATAGTTGCTAAATTTTCCCCTTTACCTCATCTCGATAAACGGGGACGAGAGTGCTCAGGGGCGACTTTCCAAACGTTGATTTCGTGACCGATAACCACGTCTGCTTCAGCCCTTTATAAGGGGAGGTAGGGTTAACCCCCAGTGTCACATTTCCACCCCGTGTGGGATGGATACTGAAAATGATTTGGAGTGGATAGAAACTATAGTCCCTCTTAGATTCAGGAATCCTTGTAAAGAATCTTATGTAGCAGTCAAATGATGATGGTATAAAATACCCCCATTAGGTCATACCGCTAAAAAAAAAATGCATCTGATCAAACTGCTTCCGAAGGAACAGATGGTCTACCTGACACATAATAAAGGGCTGTGTCATTTTTCCAGATCAATTTCGCTTGTCCGAAATGGAAATTCTGGAGGCGGTGAATCCGAGCCTCCCAGTCCCCGTATTTCCTTTTTTTCCTTATCTTGGCACGCCCAGTCTCCAGCATGACCAGCCGAGACTCCATGTGCGATGTCCTTCTAAATCAAAGCTACGAGTTCAAAGATGTTCAAGTGGCACTTCTAGGCATATATCAGTATCCGTATTACTCAGGGAGGGATAGTGAAACTGGGAATTGACCTTGCCTCCCCTTTTTAAAAATTGAGGCGGATATGGGCATCAGATATTAAAATCAGGCGTGGAAAGTCGCCCCTCTGCACTATCGCCCCAACCGTGTGTAGGTAAAAGATTAAATCACATCTTGGGATTCCTGTCACTCGAAATGCGGAGCGAGATTCTACTGGGGCGAAAATGGAAGTAACCATTGATTTTAGGTGGCTTGATTGATGGGGATGGTCGCCTAAAATACAGTATATGCGGAAGGGTCAAATGAAATCTGGACATAATTATTTTAGTGCCGTCATGATGCTCTTTATTAAATTATTTTTCACAATATACGTGAAATATACTGTGCACGTATACGTGAATTAAGGAGTATGGAGTCGAGTCGCTATGTTTGCAACATCTTCGGGAAAATGGAGTCCTGTATGGAGAGGGTGTCCAAAGATATTCAAATGTTTCGTGAAGTTTTTGAATGCCAAAGAGATCCCGCCAACGGACATCCAAAGCAGAGCTGTCTCTGCATACAATGACGACGATTCGTCTCGATCTGTCGTGAGTAAATGAACTGCGCCCTGCCAAGAGAATGAAACATTACGGGCGACCGACAGATGGTTTTATCCTCTGAGGATAACACGTGGGTGTGACAGCTGTGAAGACCGTCAGGTCATGCTCGTTTGGGAAGCTCTCACGCACCCCTCTCCAATCTCGTCAGTCCGAATCTCGTTCTGCGCTACTTTCTCGTGTTCAGCTCAGAAAAACGTGCTTAGAAGGGGGAGCGGGTTCACACGGACGAATAATTCCAGCATGACGCTCTCCAGAGATGCAACCAACACTCACAGGCTTTTTATGCGCGTCCGGTCATTTCCATGACGGAGGAATCCCTTTTCCGACGAAGGACATTTCCCAGATCGTAATCTCCGATCGGAAACATACCATAGTTAATTTTCCGGAAGGAACCATCCAGGGCAGAGATTCACCCGAAAAGTACGAGTACTCGATGTCGATCATCGGTCTTCTTCGTTCTCGAGAATTAGTACTCAGGAAGAAAAATGAAATTACGAGATCATATGTCCTGCAGATATTTCAAACATTGAATTATCTCATTCAATGAGGCTGTGAGTCAATAATTGGCGAATTGGAACACTTATGTGAAAGATGTGCCATGACATTCTATGAAAATCGTATGAAGCCCACTTTCACTGTTGCTGGATCAGCAGCCTGGTTTTTGAGCAGGAAGTTGCGCAAGAGTCTTGTCAAACCCCTGGATTTGCAATTGGCTTTGTAGTACGTCCTGCATTTCTAAAATTATCTTCCGTTCTCCTTTGTTCAAATGATATGCTTGTCCATCCAGAAGTACAATCAGTCCCCAAAAATTTTGGCCCTCAAAAGGGTATGGTAATACTGAGACCTTTTCGACTCCTTCATTTAGTACTAATGCCTGTTGAATGGGGTACTCCTTTCGGGAACGGAGGGGAATTTTTTCGTCTGAATTTTTCCTTTTTGAGGAATAGTCCGTCAGTGGAAAGTCCTTTGGGGAAGTATCCATTCGAGGAGAAAGCATTCTTGGTGGGCCCACATTGGCTGCGAGTGGGGAAAAGTGGCCCAACATCGCAGTGGGCTGCCCGTGTTGGCCCCACTTGGCGCTAGGGCGGCAGCCAACATTTGTCATGACTCAGGATGCGACAACTATCTCAGTTATTTGAACAAGAACCTTCCCACAACATATGCGAGATGGCGACTATGCGGCTGCTATTTCATTGGGATCAAGGATTGATTCATTAATTTAAGACCCCAGTACCTTTCTTGCGGTACTTGATCCATTTCCATAAGAACGTGAAGGAAGACATTCGAATTTCTTAGTTCATTTGTTTAAGCAGTCCAAACAGACTCTTGTTAATCGTGGAGGAAGCATGATTTAAATAGGGACTTCACTAGAGATTGTAGAGGCTGCGTCTGGTTCCCCTCGGGGAGGTTCGGGTGTGATTAAAGATTATGCTGGGTCTGACAGCACGGCAGACTGGCAAGTCTGGCGAATAAACTCGAGGGGAATGACCTTAGGCGAACAGCTCATTCTCACGCGCGATTCCCGCCCACGTGATTCCCGCCCACGTGATTCCCGCGCGCGCACCTGTTCCTCTCCCTCCCTCGATTTTATGCATATACGTGCACAGTGAGCTAACGCTATCTGTTGATAGCGTTAATGAGTCATTGAGCCATCGCAGTTATAACATTGTTGTTATTAACGCCCAAGATATTACTTGGCAAAGTGTGCCCCCCGACTTCTGGGACACCCTGTACATAACTCAGCGACAGCTTACCGCGTTTTAGTTGCAACGTGACGAAAGTATGACGCTGAACTTTTCGAGATTCCAAGTTTTCCACGGTTTCTCTCAGATCTTACAAGCGGAGGAGGAGTCCACGACCGGGAACCTCAAGTAGTGTCCACATTTCATCTCTAATATCTCAAAGGGGAAAGGTCAAATAAATAAAAAATGAACTTCCATCAGTAGTCCATAACAGTGAATCAACAGATTAAATGCTGATTCAACGTCTGGATCAACGTCTGATCCAATGCTTCTAGGTTGGTGCTACGACCCAGTCTGCACATCAATATTGATGCAACGTTATAACAGCATTGAAGTCTCAACATCCACAATGTTGAAGAACATTCATCGCCACATCGAATCAACATTGCCTCAACGTTGAAATTAAATAGGTCTCAACAATTTCTCAACATGCATTGCGCATGCGCAATTTGATTCCTGAAGTATTCCGTAAACCATCAGCATGATTTCAACCCCTTCTCCCATCTCGACACAGTCTCTAAGCCGAGATCAGAAAAAGACATACCGGTCTTGCGGAAGAATAGAGACTGCAGAATGATTGCAACCAAAGAAGAGATGGCTGCCAAGGTAGGTCCCCTAGGAAGCTTAAGTTTAAAGTTCAGGGTCAGGGGTCACACCGAAGCAGCTTCACACAAACACTTTCGTTCATTTGTAAGGTCTTATTTGTAAGGTTGCTTAGATCTGAACATGTCTTCATGTTAATATGTATATTTGCTTTAAAATAAAAAACATGAAATATTTTATTTCTATTAAAAACTCCTTTTTTTTAATATTCCGTATGTCTTGAGACAACTCCACCATGTCAGATGCACAAGAGATTTTATTTAATTATACTCCAAGTGACCTTTCTGCTTGTTTGTTGCGAAAAATTTTTGTCAAGCGTCATTTCAGCCACCGTCTTATCTGCACTAAATTGAACCTTTTCTTGACCGAAGTACATTCTGGCAGTTGACTGAACTGTTAGACGAACATTGATGGAGTATACAAAAATTCCTAACGGTTGCCATAACACACAAGGAATTTTGTACTGCAAAAGAATTCCTTGAATCGATGTTGATCTAATGTTGACACTTCCACCGTGAATAGTGCAGCATTGAATTAATGTTGGGCCAATGTGGGTGACAGTGACGGTCGCCACGTTGAATCAATGTTGATGCAACATGGAAGCATAGAGAGAGAGAACATAAACCGTCAACAGCGATACATTCAACCTGCACCAAATCAACGTTGAATCAATGTTGCGTGCTATTCAATACCTTGGCGAAGTCCTATGTCCCGGGTATCACTCAACATGGAAACGGGATGTCTCTCTCTCATCTCGGCATGAAGTTCATGTTGAGCTTGGAGCGGAGTATCTTCAAAAAGCGAATTTGGAAGATTGAGATTGTGTTCAGATGATATGTAAATCGTACTTCAGTAATGAAACGGCGCTTGCGCATGAATTAAACAGAGTGTTGGAACCTGTCTCATTTCAACGTTGAACCATTGTGGATTCATCATTTCTTCAACGTTGAGGAAAATGAATTTTCAGTATGGAGTCAACGTTGATAAGCAAATGTTGAATCAACGTTGCAATGTCAGAGTTGAACATTGAATCAATGCTGATATACTGTTGATGTCAACGTTACCTCAAGGTTGACAAATATGAACTTTCAATATAAAATCAATGCTGACAGGAAAATGTTGTTTCAACGATAGCTGCGTTGACGTTAAACGTCAAATCAACGCTGATTCACTGTGGATGTGCCACTTGAGTATCAATCTGTCCTCAACTTCTACTCTGACGACTAACAATCTACCCAGCAAACAAGGTAACGTTGGATCAACGTTATATCAACGTTCCGAACGTTCATTCAATGTTGATGTCAGTCCTCATTCTGAAGACAGACAGGAAAGAACAAATAACTTCTGCAAAGAGTGGGTGACCCATGATGGGTGATTGAGCCTCCCACCTCTCATGTCAGTTTATTAATTATAAGAAAATGGAAATCTTCTTTGAGGAGGCACAAAAAAATCCACTTTCCCTTCTATTTGAAAACGGTATTTCCCCGTAAATCGCGTCTACTCACTCCTCAACATGGCAAATTCTGCAAGCTAAATTTCATCCCAATCTGTTAGGTGACTCGTATAGCTACTGGAACACTCGAGAAGGGATGACCTATTTGCATGGTAAAAACAGAAGGGCTGCCTAGTACTTTACATGTTATGGTCCTCACTAAGTGAAAAGGTATGTCTACGGAAAGCAACAGCTTTGGACAATACTCACTACCGTTACCTTATGCTTGAAAGGGGAGGAGGAAGAAATCATCCGACACCCTAATAAGATCAGCCTGTTATTTTGAGAAGACAGATGTCGGCCTAATCACTTGGCTTGTGTCGTTATTCAAAAGGGTTCGGGGTGCTGCATGCGGTCGATAATCCCCCTACGAGTCAATAGAGCGAGCAGAGGAGGAAATATTTGGAGATCGTGTCATGAGACTTTCGCAATTAGCACAAATGTGTACGAACGAAAGTGGACCCCATAGTCATAAAATGTTTTCATCCTACGTATGATAAACTAAAATGACCACAAAATGGCTGATAAGAGTCACCAGAGTAAGGCAAGAAGCATCAATTTTCACCCATGCACGACGTGCGGACAGTCACGGTCTGCACAAAAGCATGTTAATTTATTAATTAAATGAAAATTATATTCCTCGATGCTACTTCGTTAGTGCTTTCTCTTGGATTGGACTACGCAGTCTCTTGGACCTTAACGACGCCCTCTACATATGATTACTAGTTTTATTTTAACTTACTGCTAATTAAAAATTAAACCAGAGTTATTTTTGTCATCGCCTGTCAACTGCATTGCTGTTTCGACTTAACAAGCCTTTTCAACGTTTGAGAAGAAGCATTCTGGACGATGAGAGAATCTCTGGTTGGAAAGGACTTTCTCGAGGACGTGGATTCTCGTCAAAACCCATGCATCCATCGCTAGCGCTCATCAATAGCTCAAATTGTCCTTTCCGTACGTTTAGTTTCGAATAAGCTACGTTAAGATATGAAAATCGCACTTTGAGTTTCGCTTTTCATACGTTCGTTTTCATCCGATTTCCAATGAAATCGGATTCTGAGTTATGTGAAAATTTCGCAATAGTGGGATTTGTTCAAACAATTATGAAAAAACGGAAGCATATTTTTGAAATATGCACGTTAGCAATTGGGAAGGAAAATGGGTAAAGTATTGCATTAAAGCCCATAGAAGGAACTACAGTCAACCCTCGATATAGCGCCACGCTCGCTTAGCGCCAACTCTTTTGTGAGAATGACTCTTCCCCATAGGCTTATCATTGTCGCTCCCCCGTTATAGCGCCACCCTCGCAAGCCGCCATCCGCCAATACCTTGCCTTACTTTGCCTTGCACAAACGTGCCTTATTTAACGTAAGTCGTACTCGATAAAGCGCCAAGCATCATACCAGCTACAATGATTATACCATGCACTACCGTGACGGAAAAAAATGACATGCTGTCAGCCTTTCCTTTCTATCGTTTGATAACTAGATTGTGAGGGATGACTTAGCTTTGGCACGGACGCCAGGGATTAGAGGGGGCGTAATTGGTCTCTTAATCTGACCTAATCCTGCCTCTCCTTTTCTTTCTTTTGGAGAATGGAAACACCTCTTTCGGTTCAAAGTTTCTCCAGACGATTGTTCAAGTGTGTTCATTATCCAGTAATGGGGAAAAGGACAGTTATAAGTGTGAGGGAAAAAGTGGAAGTGTGTCGCTACAAGGAGGCACATGCGGCCGAAAGTCAGCAAAACATTGCGAATAATTTTTCTAAGCTGTGTAGTTTTTCATCTCCATTGGCAGCATGGATGAATTAAATTATTTTTTTTGTTGCTAATTCTATTTTACATTTGAGTTCGAAAATTTTCCGTGTTAAAGCCGCGCATTTTGATGTAACGCCACCCTCGATATTGCGCCAAAGTCGGCGTAGGCCAACAGTGGCGGTATATCGAGAGTTGACTGTACTGCAAGCGGATTAACAGCAAATTTGCATGTTTTTTTCTCGTTTCTCATCGAAGAAGAGAGGCTTGGACTCGAACGAGTGGTTGAATCGTCCGAGTCGCAGGTAGATTATCATTCATGCGCATTAAGGGTGCGAACATGAAAGGTAAGGCACTACAAGGGATCTGGGCTCGTACTCAAGCGCTTGTCTGCCTCTCTCCTCCGAGCCTCCATTGTCGTCTATGAAATTCTGTCTACTCGTGTCTTCGAGATGGATTTTTCGAGAAGTAGCTGCCTGTGAACCTTATGAGTGTCAACTACTTCTCGAAAGCTCATTTGAAAAATTAAGAGAAAATTAACTTTCGAAAAGTAGCAGTATCATGAGAAATTGATTAAATGAATAACACATTTTTGGAACCTTAAATTCAGTAGTTCTTTAGTATGGAGGGCGAGAAGTTCTGGGGGCGCAACTAAGCCTGAATCGAAGTTTCTCAAATTAAAATCGATTTCAAGGTGCATTAGGAAAAAAGTATGCTATATGACTTGTGACAGAAATGTTTTTACATTAATTCTTGCCCGAGTCGAGACACTCCAGGATGATTTAATCTGAGTAGCGGGATTTAGTAGGTAGGTATATGAAGGAGGTGGACTCATTTCCCACTTTTTTCCTCCCACACAACCACGACGTTTTTCTCCGCCCCCTTTCCTGGAATAGGCCTCCAAGACTACGTGGAAGCGATTCCCCATTGCAGACCTACTGGGTGTTTGGAAATTGTAGTAACTTCTGTAATTTTTTTTACTAGAACGATAGTTTTCGTGCCAAAGGAAACATATTTGGATGAGGTTTTATAATTTCATTCGTTTGTTTACAGCCACCCTTCATGGCACCAAAATTGAATCTTCGACACAGTGCGCAAAGGTATGATATGTGGAAGTCCAAAGTCCAAAGTTGCAATTAACCCATTGGCATTGGAATTATTACACTATTTTCGAACCATATTTTTGCATTTATTTTGAAAAATAATCATTACTTTGCAAAATGCAATGTTTTAAGAACTAAGCTTGAGTACAATACCTTATATACCTTAAATACCTTAAATAATACCTTAAAACTGCTTGTAGGTAGTTCCACCAACTCACCGAAGGGTTCATTATGAATTTGCATCCTAGAAGTGCAGTACCGTGCCTGGTAGCGATACTACGAGACGGTCTCGTAGATGAATGCCAATGAGATGAGTAGTTCTCCTTCCCCCTCCACCTATGGGCCGTGACGAGAACCTCCACACCTCATACCGCGCACTTATTTGTACATGATGTGAAATATTCAATTTTGGCTCCATGAAGGGGTAACTGTAAAGAAAATGTAGTGAAATCATAAAACCTTATCGAATTCTGTTTCTTTTGGCAGGAAAATAATTTTTCTAGTCCATTCATTGAAATTTTAAAATAAAGAGTGACTTTCCAAACACCCTGTTGAAAACACACGGTCGCTAGAGGCGAACGGCACGGACTTTCTGGTTGTATCTCGTAAGTCGTGACGGATAGAACCAATTGCTTGTCGTGGCATAGTACCTGAAAAACTACGATCTTCGTATTTTTTATTATTAATACAAGAAAAATGATCGATGGATGATGTTCATGCCACATTTCAACTTGCTAGCTTCATTGTGTAGGAAGTTATGCCATTTTTCGTGGGATGCGCTAATAAAGAAACACCCTGTACTATGCACAAATCATTGCATTTCAAAGTCAATTGAAACATTGATTCATAAATGCTTGAACTCTGCCATAATCCCCAGGGCCGGATTAACTCATAGGCTAATAAGGCCTTAGGTCCTCATATTTTTTTGTTGCAATATGTAATTCATACTTAGGCCCTTCCCTCACATTAGCCTTAGGCCCCTCATAACCTTAATCAGGCCCAGCTAATTCTCAATACCTTCCAATTTGACACACGTGTCATGATTCTCATTTTGCCCTTCTCGGGTACGAGCAGACTTGACGAGATCCATTCGATTGGATTCGCCGCTCGTGCATCACTTTTCCCAATTTTTTTTTCTATGCAACAGACGGGAGAGGTGGAGGAGAGTGGTCGAGTGAAGGTGAACGTGTCCTACCTCCGACTAAGAGGGGAATTCCTCATCCGAGAAGGCTGGGGTGAATACGGAGAGTTGCGTTTGAGGGGAAGATCTCCTCGAGATGCGACGGTAATCGTTTCCAAGACGGAACAACTCTCTCTCATTCTCCACACGGACTCTTCGACTTCGAACGTCACCTCACTGCACTTCCTCGGCTTCTCCGCCCTTCTCTCCTTTACCGGTCTCTGCTGCTCTGTACCTCTTTGTCTTCTGCTAACGTACCGAAAAAATGAAGTAAGATGTCGGTTATGGGGTGGGACGTCATTGACGTTATTGAGAAACTCTAGCACGTAAAGAGTTTCGCATCAAGGGAAGACAAATGGAGTGGTGGCACCTTTTCGCATCCTACAGGTCACTCCAGTTTCCATTAAGTTGGATCTCGCTTCGGTAAATCGTAGGGCGATGGAGAATTTGCTGTGCGAGACGAGAGAGAAAACGGGAATACCACTAGGTGCATACCACACAGCAAAGTAGAAACGTACAAGGATTGTGTGTACAAATGTGAGACGTACATATTTGCGTCCTTCGGGTCCCCATCCGTACCTGCATACGTACCTTTGTGCGGATGTATTATAGTCCAGACGTACACATCGGTACGTTGCAGACGCAGATGTCCGGGTTCCCAATACCGTACTCAAAATAGGCATAAGATGGCGTTTATGTTTCCCCGAACATTCGAATTCAAGTCAGGACGCACCGAATCTTAGAAGAGTTTTCTTCCTTTCCCAGTATTCTTCTCATCACAATACTGTCACGATATTGTATATAGTGTATTTTTTTTTGCTTTAATCCATAGACCTGAATAAGTGTATTTTCTCGGATTGACGCGAGATGGCGCCTCTGGCGCCACGTTATTTACCACACTTTAAACCGGTACTTATTATGTCTAAATATCCGATGTGTGGAGGGTAGGATGGGTCCCCGAGTACCACCATTATGTCGGGAGTCAGGTGTGTTTCCACCGGCATCCTGAAGGAAGTTGATAAGAAGTTAAGCGCGAGGAAACAGTGTACACCCCATAGGGAGGTTGAGCCGAGCGGGCATGACTACCCGAGGAGGGCCGAGTTTCGGGGAGCATTGGGAAGCTGTGGAGAGCTTAGGACCGCATTCGCAAACCGAGGCCACGAGGTTCAGTACCCTCTACGCCCTCGTGCCGAATCACCGTCCGTCCCGCTCAGGACCGCATTCGCAAACCGAGGCCACGAGGTTCCGTACCCTCTACGCCCTCGTGCCGAATCACCGTCCATCCCGCTCAGGACCGCATTCGCAAACCGAGGCCACGAGGTTCAGTACCCTCTACGCCCTCGTGCCGAATCACCGTCCAGACGGTAAACTTGCCCGGCTCGGGTATTGTCCCTGTCCCCTGTGTCCCCGTTCGCGTCTGGTAATCGCGGTCGATCCTCGGTTCGCGTGTGCTAAAGCTTTCTTGGTTGTGACATTCAGTTGCTTTACGACGGGCCAGATTGCCATGATTGGTCTGACATAGAAACTAAGTTGTGTTGCTGCACCCAGTGTCTCACATTAAAAGTTTGGCTGCATCTGCGATCTTGAGTTTTCGTTGGGTTCGCCCCGCTCCTAAGGCCTCCTTTACGGCCACAGCTACCACAAGTGTCGGCATCCGGTCCGCGGACTGGAGGACGGACCTCGCCAGTACCCCGCACGACTCCGGATTCAGTACTCCGGGCGGGTACTTGACGATATAGGCCGCCAAGACCGTCACAATACTTATAAAGTAGTGCTTGGTAAAGAATAACTATCACGTTTCAATGGCAATTCTGGGAAATTTTAAATGTTGGGGTTTTGCACGAGGACAGAAAAGTGTAAACTGACAGGTTATGGGTTTTTTCACTCAGATAATAGATAACAGCCAATATTCAATAAAATTGAAGGGCTGTATTTACAATCGTCTGGACTTGCTATGTATTGTATCTTCATATATTACACAGTTTACCGAATCAACTAACCAGGTAGGAGAAACCGTGTGAAGGTGACAGTGGATTCATATTGATTGTCATGGTATGAAACCTTCCACCAAAAAATATGTTAATTGACTAGTTAATTAAAAAGTTAGCTAGTTTTCCTCCCCCGATTCTTTAGCGCTCTCTCTTGGATCGAAATACGCAGTCTCATGGTCTCATGGTCATGGTCAGTGTCATACGCAACGACGCCCTTTACATTCGATTACTAATTGAATTTCTCTTACTGCTAATTAAAAATTAATCCTGTGGGAAAGATTTCCGAAGTGGACCGCTCATCGAATGTTACATGTGAGATATCAAGCAAGCTCTTGATGAGTAAATTGCGTTGGTGCATATTTTATCTGAGAAATATACGACAAGAAGTATTAGCTTTAATGTTGAGAAGTGTGGGTTTTTGACTAAGCTAGCATGGAGTGGCGTGCGCGCTCACGTTCAACATGGGGTAGCCACGTTGAACGGTAGGTCATAGCACAGCTACCAGACGCAATGGCCTAGACGCACTCTTGACGTGGCTGCTCCAAAATGCCCACGTTGAAAGTAACCATTACATCAACACCTTAATATCACACAATCATCCCTCAAACCTCTCAGCTGAAACATATATCTTCGTAACCTATTCATGCAGTATTTTCATGTGATTTATCTCTCGCACCGTTTCGTCTACTACGGAAAAGTCATCCCAACCCAGAAATGTCACCCGCGTCCCGCGGGATCCGTCTCGCGATTTATCCATATCCGTATACAAAAGAGGCTAATCTGTCATTCCGGGAAACTTCTCCTAGACGGACGAACAGTTTTTCATGAGTGATGTGTCAATCAAAAGCATAGGACCTGGAGGCGATACTATTGGGTCAGTAGTTCGAAACGTACGCTGCGAACGTGGTTTCTACCGGTTCTCCTGTCTCTCTGCGCGTCAGAGGCCTGCACGGGTTGACTTTTTGAGTTGAAACTCGATCGACCCGATTCGAATCGTGGCCCGCACCCGACCCGGAACGCGATCGTCGACCAAGCCTTGCTGCTCCGAGCCGCGAATCGTGTTGTGCTTTCATGGACGGCCCGCAGCCCGCTTAGGTCTTTAAGTTTGAGAACTCCAGGTCTCTGATGACGTATTTGCCCCAAAGGGGGGGGGGGGGGACGAAGGTACCCTCGCAGATCTGCGCAGAACCGCATTTTCGGGTGGAACGGTTCAGAACGAAGGGCGTTCTGTGCAAGGAGACAGGGTGGCGAAGCGTGCCTTCGGCATGAGAAACTGATTGGAAAGAAAGTTCTCGGAATTTCTTGAATATCCAGTACAATTTTTTTCCAGAGCATGCTAGAATGTTCTGCGTGTGTTTATAAGTAGGTCGCGTCCTTCGGCATACAACCGTATATTATTACAGCCCTGGTGCTCTCCAGCCATGAACCAGCCCTACCCTCTTACTAAGGAGCAAGTTCGCCTGCTTCTTCTTTATGACTTCCGAATGAAGAAGAAGGCAGCCAATTCCATCGCTGACATCAATACCGCGTTTGGCCCGGACACTG